AGGCATAGCTGTACCCCCAACATGACCTCCTCTACTAAAATGATTCAGTACCTATTCTGGAAAATTCTGCTACTCATACAAACCACGTCTCAAAATTGTGGAGTTATCTTGATATGACTATAGACAATAATTTGTAATACAGTAAATAATACTGTTCCACCATATGATGCATCTACTAAATCAACTAAAATGGAATTACATTCCACCAAAATGCTTAAGTTTTTACGCTTACGTTACAGTATTCTTCTTTGCTCACTAAAATAGTTCATCCATATGACAAGTTTTGAAGTCACCCCGCGGTAGTCTTGGGTACCCTTTTTCATCCCCAATTATCATTACATTCTGTTAAGAGCTTTTGAAATATTATTGAGGCAAAAAATTATAATTCTCTGGTTGACTTTTAATAAGTTGTGTTATATAGATTGTTCACAGAAACATGCTTTTCTGATGACTAATTAGGACACCATTAAGATGAAATGAGTCTGACAACATGCTTCCAATTTAGTAACAAGATATACAAACAGATGAACGGAATCCCAATGGGATCACCGATACACGGACTGATTGCAGAAGCAATGATACAGAGACTGGAAGCCATCATTCTACCTGTGATCAAACCAAATATTTGGACTCACTAAATGGATGACACTTTTGTCATCATTCAGTGACATCAAATTCACAATGGGGAAGGAGTAAAACAACCAAATAACATTTCTGGATGTTCTAGTCAGTAGAACAAATGCCAGAAAGCTGGAAACCCAAGTGTACAGGAGGCCAACACACACTGACCAAATCCTCAACTACAGTAACAACAACCCAACAATGCACAAAATTTGTTGCATATAGACTCTATTCAAAAGAGAGAAAAAACACTACAGCACAACAACTTCACGAAGAATGGAAGAAAATAACTTATTGTCCACCATCATGAATAAGAACGGCTACCCATGGAACTTTATCACAAGATGCCTATCCCTTACATCATCAACTACAAAGTTATCTACAGAAATCAACAAACGTATCATCCTACTTTACATAAAGAATATATCAGAAATCACGACAAGATTACTGAAACCACTTGGAATTGGTGTGGCCACTCATTAACCAACAAATTCACTCCAAACACTATTATACAGATTAAAGGGTACAACAACCAAAGAAGACAAACCGAATATCATTTACACGATCAACTGCAGTAACTGTAGCCAACACTACATTGAACAAAGTGGTTGCCCTCTTCTCTTCGTCTACATGAACACTAATTAGCCATTAAACGTCACGACACTTCATCACTCATTTCAATGCATGTGGATAATTATGGACTTGAATTCAATTTTGACAATGTAGAAATTTTGGACGGAGGGAGGAGACACAAAGAATATCATCAGGGAAATCCTAGAAGCTTGGTATTCAGATCAGTCAGTTAGTCGGTCAGTCAGCAATCAACAGATGTATAGACATAGACCCAATCTATCAATCAATAGGAAAAATGATAAACGTCAGAAAGGTCAGAGGTGAAGCAGAGGAACAGCCAACAGGAAAATCTATACAATCAATGACACAGCAATCAAAGGAAACAACCAATCACAAACTACTTCGTCAAGGCAAGCTACTAAATCACTTATGGAGAGATATTGACAGGTCACTTCAAAGTGAAGTTGTCACTGATGATATCGTCTAGTAGGACAATGAAAGCTGGATGATTAAGTAACCGGGATCAGAGAACGCAATACAACCAAGGCCATCCACCTCAGCTACAAATATTCTCCACATTTTCAGGTTGAGGCAGTATAGAGAGTAGCTGTTTTTTATGACCTTTATATCAACTGTTCTCAAATAGATTTCCACACATTTTCACGTGCCACTAAATGGTCGTTACTGAAATTTACCATTCGAAATATGTAAGCCATATTCTTGTAAAACTTGGATTACCAGTTCTTCTACACCATACTGAAAAAGGCTAGTGAAATAGATTCCATTTAAGATATCGTTTATCAAACTTTTAGTGGCAGTTAGTCTCAGGCCTCTTTGTGACTACCAGGATATTATTCACATAGTGAATGCATTCTTGCGGATCCACCAATTACACAATGACTGACTGCATTACTATGTCAGCTGTTACTCTAAAACTAAGTGACCGTGGAGTCGCCGCTTCCTATTCGTTGTCAATAGTTTCCTAAGTTGAAAATACTCTGTCAGTCTTTATTTGCATGCCATTTTATCCTCACTCTCTTTTAATCGTTTTTCGAATATCTTTCAACCTATATCTATCTTCGGCTTCCATGTTGTTCTTTGGTGGAGTAACTTGCATAAAATAACTTTTATGAACACCTTTATGTTACGGCATCCCTTTCATGATCATACGGTGTAACTGTCAGATGCGAAATAAATCGGTCACAGATTATCACATATCTCTAAGGTAGCGAGGCTGAACAATACAACAAGCTTCTGGCTGAACGTAATACTACTCTGAATAAAAGTGATTTCAGTTTACAAACTCGTTTGTGCATCTACCAACCTGGAGTTCAGTGTATATAAATAAATGCGAACAAGAAGCAAATATGCATACTCGGCAAGAATTAGGCCAGAATGGTTTGGAAAACTTGTGACTGAAATACTTACGAACAATGCGTCGGATTGAACTCATGATGATCCACTCTATAACCTATAGATTGAGTTTGAGTTCGTGAATTGATAGATATTTATATCTTTAAATAACTAAAAATCACCGTAAACGGAAGAAACCTAGACGAAGTAGTCTCTTTACGTGACTAGACAGCATTATTTCAACTACGGGCGGCACAGACGAATGTGCCAAAACCAGGATCAGAAAAACAAGACAGGCTTTCATCAATCTGAAATCAGTGTAGAGATCTACTGCACTAAGCACAAAGAGCAAGATTCGAGTTTTCAATGCCAATGTTAAGTCAGTGTTTCTATATGGTTCAGAAACTAGGCGTGTCACGAAAAGCACTTCCAACAAACTACAGACATTCATTAACAGCTGCCTAGGCTCGATACTGAAGATCAGATAGATGGTCAGAAAGAATAAGCAACAAGGAACTCTGGAAACGAACCAAACAAGAACCTATTACCTAACAAATATGCAGAAGAAAGTCGAGATGGTTTGGGCATACACTGAGAAGGTCGACTGGAGACTCACGCTCCAGGCCAAGCCCTCAAGTGGAATCCAAAGGGGAAACGACTAGTTGGGCGTCCGAGGGTGACATGGGGAGATCATGTGAGGAAGAAATGAAAGCTTGTGGGCAGTCGTGGCTCCAGGTTGAAAAGACCGCAGGAAACAGAGTGCAATGGAGGCGTGCTGCTGAAGCCCTGTTCCACTTGGAACCCAAGTGACAAATAAATGATAAATATATAAATAACTACCAACTGTAAATTTTTAATGACAGATTTTGTTAGAGTACTGTACTGGGTTATATTTACTCATTCAGTTTATCAAGACTTTTTCATCAGTATTAATTTTCATAACGTTACATAACCAGATTACTCTCAGTAGCACATCCTTCTTTAATCTAAAGGTATATGTCTGTTATCTTCAAACTTACTGCTTAAGTTAAGTAAGTAAGTGCCTAGCAGCTGAATCCAAGCGGTGCGTTTCATACTTGCCTCCCAATGACTGATATCTTTCCCGTGATTGGTCCTGGGTTTGCTGCTTAGTAGGAACATAATTACTCAATGGAAAGCAGGTCAGACAGACTGAAAAAATCAACATGGAACTTTCCACACAAGTGCATCGTATCAAGTTGCCACATTTCACAGTAATACACAAACAACAAGTGGATTGAAAGAGAGAAACATCTAATTAGACAATGTTGTTTGAGTAGATAAATAGTCTGAAGATAACGGCTGGTGTGAATACTCAAGCTTTAGATATCAAGGAGTGAATATATCTGCGCCACTGTCACTAACAATCCCCAACTACTTATTCCTTTCGTCTCAAGGACCTCAGTTGGCCAGGCAGACTGTATCTCCCTACATGGCTCAGACCAACAATAAGAGACTACATTGACTGGTGCCACGTCTTAGTGTGACCACTTTGAAACCTCTTTCAACCTTATACAACTTCCCCTGGCAAGACACATAGAGGTAGGCGGTGATTCGGCATACCCACTACTGTGTAGCTACAAATGTCTCTACTTTTCACTGTCTATATTGTGAAGAGTGGAACAATTTATTTTTCAGAATCATACAAGCATGCGAAGCTAGTTCTTTCACTTTCTGATGACCAGTGTTCTCTGTCTACGTAAATTCAGATCTCCACGACTGCCTCCATGCAGTCAATTCGTCCTTCAGTATATGAAAATGAGATTCTCTGACGTCAATACTCCTGACTCTTATCACATTTATTTATTTCCCGTTGGTGCTGCTTGTGGCGCGAACTCACAACATTTAAAAATATGCTCCACCTCAGAGTTACACTGATTAGTAAACCCTAAAAATTTAATTAGAATATTCAACCCTCATCTCTTTCTCTGCTTAAACAGGTAAAATAAAATAGTAATTGTATCTTACTTTGACAGAAAAAGATCAGAATGAAACCATCAGAATAATGTTACTTTCTACAAGTATCAATGATGACTATAGAATTAGCCAATTCACACTTATATGATTATTTAAGATGAACACTTCTTGCTGAAACAGTGAGCGTTTCGTGTTCCAAACATACCAAAGCACACTCAGTAATCACAAACACATATGCATGTTAGGCAGTGGGCAAAATCTATTGTGAAAAGCTACATGATACTAGTTAGCATCCTAGACGTTGTTAAGTGGGAGAGGATTCAAACCTCTCAGCAAGACCAGTGGGCCTAATTTCTACACAAACACACTAATGAAAAACTACAAGCTATACTTCGGTGTTACTTTTAAGTCTACATACAAGTTTCATCAGCAAACAGAAACTGGAAATAAAAAATAAAGAGTAATACTGACAACTAGAAAAGTTATTATATATCCATATATTAAAAAGATAAGCTTACCGGATGGGTAAAGCGATGGATGTCCAGCCGATTGACCATAATAAGCAGATTCTAACTGAAAATCACTGTCTTGTAAGCGTTCAGCTTGTCGACGTAATAATTCCATCTGATATTGATTAATTAAATGTGATAATTGAATGTCTGGCAATTCTTTAAAGTAAGAGAATTGACCAACGTTTGTGTTTATTCGACCATGAATTTTATTTTTAATTTTTTGCTTATTATTAGCATTATGATTAGGGATATCAAAACGTGGATAAGAATTGGTTTCTGAAGGCTGCTCTTCAGGTTGTTGACGTCCGTAAATTTGTGCATTTTCAAGGGGATTATTATTACTGTTAATCTGATGTGATGAAGGATACCAGAAAGAAGGAATCTCTCGATTCATATAAGCTGCATGACCATCGTACAACATATTGGGCTGATAATGATTGTTACTTCTACCCCATTGTCCATCTTGCTGAGAAAACTGTTGATCATTGTCATTATAAACTGCCTTTTGATCAGAAATGTAAAGCGGATCATGAAAGTTTTTCACTTTTTCATATGGATTATAGAGTGAATATGAAGGGCGTTGTTGCTGTTGTTGTTGTTGAAGAGAAGGAGAAAAAGGTCGAGAAGGTGCAAGATTCACTCTTTTATAATCCCGTCGATCATTTACTTCCTTATTTAATGCTCCTGGCAGAGATGATTGTGATAACGGCAGCTGTGGTTCTGGTACTGATTGACCATATGATCTTACATTCTGAATAACCTGATTCCTTGGTGATAACTTAGGACTAAGCAAGTTCATGTTATCATCATCATCATTAAAGTTTTCTTCCGGTTCATAATTGTCACGATTAACTCTTTGATAGCGTTGACGCTTTTGATTTCGAGATATTGATGAGGAAGAGGATGGTGAAAAGATGTATGATTGAGGATTTTCATCATATGTCTCATCCGACTGAAATCCTCTTATATGGTCAAAATTATTATTAGCTTCATTCATTAGTACAGAAGATGATGATGATAATGACCTTACTTTATTCGCTTCTCCTGTCTTTTGACCTCTAAATCCAAGATCATATGGAGGCATAACAACTTTAGGTATCCTATGTGATGAAGATGATAGTGATGATGATTTAGACGGATGTAAATTTAATTCACCATATCGACGTTCTATTCCATTTTGAATAGGTTTACCTTCTACAAAAGTTATTCCCCAAATTACTCCATAAAATAATACTCCAAGATATAAGATAAATAATTTATTCATTCCATGATTTAAATGAGTATGATATGTATGTAGTTTAGTAGGAGTACCAATGTTACTTCGATTAGTATTTGTATACCCAGTATGACCGTTTCGATAAGTTAATGAAGTTAATGTCCATGTTGATGGTATATTGAATATATTCCATAATCTACTTTCACCAATGTATAACCTCACTAAATGATCCACTAAATTATATAGAGTAATACATACAATAAATGGTATTTCAGTTATATTATAGACAAGCTTTTGACCACTACTTCTACTGCTACTGTTACTACTACTATTACTACTTATAATATTACCAAGTAGTATATTTCTTTGATTACCTAACAGCTTATAAATAGAATGCAATAATCTTAATATATCTGAATATAAAGCATACGTAAATGTGCAGGATATCCATATAAATGATAATAATATTGATGATGATTTTGAAGGTAGATAATTGTAATGATCAAATATGCGACTATATTGACAAGGGTTAGAATAGTTAAACTTATAAGATGCAATTAACAGTAATAATAATAATAATGGTAATAATAGTAAGAATAATTGTAGTGAATTTATTGACACGGAATATAATGATATTTCCAATAATGTCCACTGGGAATTGAACATGAATTGAATGTGAATAGATCTTACTTATTTATTTGGATATATATATATATATTTAATATATATATATATATAAGTATCTGTATAATTGTAATTATTGATCAATAAATTTAAAATTTGTTAACAATTTATATATATATATATATTATATGTATAATAAGTAATAAATATTGATTAAAAGTAATTAGTAATTGTTTATAACTTGTATTGTGTTGTATTGAGTTCGTGTTATAATTGTTTTGTTTTTTTTTACTTAATCAAGATAGAAAGTATTACTTTCACTTGTTTTTATCACTAAGATAATTATTGAAATGAAGTGAAAATTTGCTTATGTTTTAATCAATGTTAATTACATCCTTGTAATATCAATAAAAAGAATCAATGATGCACTTTATCCATACTCACATGTACAATGTATAGAAAAATAAATAACTTTAACTGAAGTTGATAATTTATACATCACCAAATCAATTTTATTTTTGACAATTGTTTTTTTCTGCCCTTTTCACTGTTTTTATGTGCTCCCGCTTTAGATATATTTAGATATATACATATATATACGTTTCCCTTTCACTTGGATAGAAGCGATAAAAATTGAATTCCCGGTAATTTTTTGTTAATTTGTAGTAAACGTTTAAATTGATGCGATTAAATTTTAATTGTATGACATATCATTTCTGTCTTGATTATAATAAATTCGTTTGTAGTATATATATATATGTGTGTAGTTAGATAAACAAAAGAAAATTGTACTTAGTCAAGTTGTCCAAAATAAATACCTCTTCGTGTGTATCCTTATAGGTGTCAGTGATTATTAATAATTTTCAACTGAGTGTATGCATGTGATAACATATACAAATATACGTGTACATTCAATGCTTGCACATTTAAACACAAATAGACAGAGGCATTATATATATATATATATATATATATATATATATATATATATATATATATATATATATATATATATATTGGTAGACTTAAACGCACACAAACTCAACATTTCTTGCTGGTCAATAATGAACTATTTACTGTGATAGATGATCATTGTGCCTGTAGACTTTAAACACGTAGGCGTTCAATAACATTCATAATAGTTATAGAATTATCCAATCAAGTCAGATTCTTATTATTTGAGTATACAGTTTATGAAACTATACTCACTAGTTGATATGTGTAAGGTATGCATGTGTCTGTAGACATTTATGTGTGTGAATGTGTGTCTATTTTAAATGGGAAAAGTCTAGTCATCTTCTATAATATATATTGTCCTGCGTTATGTTAAACAGGGTCGTCTGTAGAAAACAAAACCTTATTTGCAAAGAATATCTGTGCATTACACTTAGAAAAATTTTTCAATAACATCTTAACAAGACTTAATATAAATTGTTCCAATCATGTAATTGATTGATAACACCTTCATGTTTGAAGTAATGGGTACGAGGTTCGAGTCTCAGTGGGGACAACATCACTCACTGGGGTGCAGGTACACCCAGCTGACGAGTTGCAAACAGGACAAAACGCGCTGCTAGCCACAACCGAGTAAATTACCATAAATAATATTCAGGCAATATTGAAGCATCCGCACAGGAGCCCATAGGTCAATGGAGGTTGAACAATCGGATCCAATAAAAAACGGAAAAGTACAAGCATATCAATAAATAGTGATACTTAGTTTGTTTACAAGATTTAGCATACTGTGAAACAGTTTGGTTACTAGGTAACCAATATTACTACTGAACGACTTGGGTACATAACAACCATTCAGGCTGATGTTTACATTCAGCAAAGCACGGACGGTTGTTTCTCTAGTCTCCGTCGTATTACTTGAGAACACGTGAATCTGTCCAGTTGACCCACATGCAATAGTAAGATCAATTTGCAAAAGATTTACAGATCGCATTTCTCACAGCCTGAGTAATTTCTGACTACTCAACTTGTTGAGTATTAGTACATTTCGCTAGTTGCTGACATTTTATGTCAGAGAACATAACTTATGGTCTTGGCTGCAAGTTGGTTTCCAGCGGAAATCCTAATGACAGCACATTTAGTCAGTTGGAAGAAAAACTATTCACCTGTGAGAAATTTCAGTGGGTACTGCGTAGTTTTTAAATCATTTGTAAATTGATCATTCTACAACTGGGTGAGGTTACACAATTTTTCGTACAGACATCCAGCTGACGAGTCCCAAATAGAACGAAACGCGCATCGTATATTCTTCTGCTAGCCACAACCAACCAAACTACCAAATAGAATGACTTTATAACTCCGAGACATGGCTTGTAAAATTCAAACTATCTCTCCTTCTTTGTGATAACAGTAGTACAAATACATACAACGGAAATGATTCAATAACTGTTCCAGACATGTGGAAAATTTTGCCACCCTTATCACGAAGTACAAAGAGAATAAGAGTCTTATAAACCATGTGTAGTGGTTATTCGAAACGTTATCCAGTAAGAGCAAAAAGCAGACTAAAATATGACGACTTCCCCCTCGCCCGAGCTTTACTCATATATTAATGGTAGATTTCAAAATGATCAATCTCTTAATGAAGTTCTTGATCGAAATCGCATTAAGCAAAACTTATAACAGGCATGATGGGCAAATGTCTAATGAACTCATTAGAGTTCCCTTCTCACTATAGATTTTACCAAATATAGGAGACTTTTCCAGCTGACTGTTCTGTTTTGATCATTTTCACTGCTTGAAGTCTCATAGACATTTGACTCAGTATTTTGAAATCCTATGACCCATATGTCCGTGTAGGCGTCAAATGTATTCCCCGACACTAACTGAGTTGATGGCGTACCTGATCTTCAACTCACTATATATTATATTTTGACTAGTCAAACAAGCATTGCATAGAAATTGGAAGGTGGAAGAAATATACGAATATGTTCAAAATTTATCTGCAGACACACAGGAAAGAATTATACCCTACATTCTTATCCCACAAGCCGCTACCAGACAGGATAGTTTGAATGTCAAACTTTATTATTTGCTTTCAACGTTATATCCATCATCTACTACCACCAGTTAGAGAACAACTGAGAACCTGGAAACAGCGGAGAGCTGTCTAATCTAAGTGTGCGACTACTCAGCAGTGCCCTCAGTGGAAGCAAGCAAACATGAAATGTCCGGTGGAAGTCCAGAATACATTTTCTGCTGTTGACAGTTAGCTTATGGCTCTTTCCATGTTAACGTCACACTAGTTCATCACAGAATGTCATGTAGTGTGACTTTTAGACAGATGGTCCACCTTTTCCGAAAGTCCTATGTCACATTTGTTTTCATGCTTCTCTTTGGCTCCAAATAACCCCTATTAAATAAGTGATTTATTCGAACATATGAAACAGTTGTGGTCACGTAAAGCGATACCGCTGGAACAGAATGATAATTCCAACAGAAATGAGTACCTGAACAGCAAAAGGATTCAAGTTAATGACCTATGGATTATCCACTAAGCTCTCCACCAACTGCTTTACAAAATCGAAGCAAATTCAGGAGCTAATTAGCAGCTGGAACTCATAGTTCATTTAGTAAGAAACTGGTAGCTGGTAATCCCAGGTTACTGGTTCAAATACTTCCTTTACTTCGGTATTGAGAAACTTCCTCCTACTGAAAAGTAAACCCCAACTAATAATGTTTTTTATTGGAAAGAAACTTTATATAATGTTCTTCATCATGATTGTACAACCTGGAACCAGTGTGTATGCCGTCCTGTTTGAAACTACGGTCAATAACCTCAAACAGCGACCATTTTACCTTCTTCAATATGAATGATAAACTGAGGTATTAAAACACAGTAAACTGGAGAAACTTTGATCACTAGGAAGTAAAGAATAAGGCTAGAGGCCAACTTTGAGAGACGTGGACATTTTCATCCCCTGAGCTAACACAGTACTTAATTTATGGCTTGTGTACATCCTACCGGATAAACTTTCATTTAAAAACTGAGTAGATGGTAGAAACGCAACAATCAATATATTTCAAATTTAGTCGACTCATGAAATAAGGGTGTATTTAAGGGCCACTCCAGCAACTGCTGAAATGACCAATCACGACGTGATATTTCGCCTGGAACAGTACTTTTCCATAAAATAAAAGAATGTAATTGGCTGTTTTATCAGCTGCTAGGGTGGCCTTTAAAATCACCCGTGAAATAAGAGGATCTTCTTTCAATTTCATCTCAGCTCACCGGTCTTGAATCTGTATTCACTTTATCTGAGAAGTACTCACCACTCAGAAATTATCAATCTACAATGAGGGCAGTCTAGTATTGCTGAGTGCTCTCCAAACGTTGGACCATGATGAAAACTGTCTTCCAGTGAATCTACCTATAACAGCTATCATTACACCAAAATTTCATCTGTTCTACTTTATTCCTCCAAAAATTAACTCCAATCATACCTTTATAAGTGTGACTGAATTTAGCGCAATAACTCAGTCGCAAATAAATGGCTGAATATGTTCGGCTTTTGTTACCTGTCTTGTCTCATAAATGATATTTTTCTATCAGAAAGAAAAAACAACCATAAATGGAGAAAATTAGATATGCCATCGCCTTCCAATGGTTTTTATTGTTTAACCGGATTCCTTGTTTTCTCTACTATCCCTTATTTTAGAAACAGGTCACATTTACAGTGTTCACCACATTTAATTACTTGAGTATCATCCCAAATTTTCCTCCTCAGTACTTAATTCTACTTCTGAAAATTGTTTTGTGTTCCCGGAATGTAAAATAAAATTAGAAAAATATGGTGTAAAACTTAGGCACTGTGGTAGAATTTAATTCCATATTAGATTTGCTTATTTGATTTATAATACATAGTGATCTAGTATTATTTACCTGATGACATTTCGAGCATAAATTACCATTGCTCATAATCAATGTAATGACACTCCACTTTAGACATTTGTTTTTTATAGTTACGTCACTTCATATGAGTTGTTTTTATTCGTAGCAAAACTTTCCATATCTCTGGTACAAGTGTTGCGTCATTTCTACTACATGTATTGAGTGTTGATTCGACGAAAAAAGATTCAGTAATCAATCTCCCTCAATCTTCACCTAATTGTATTCGACTTGAGTAGAATGGTTTACCCTACCCTATTGTGCAGTTGTGTGTTAATGCATGCATAGCCATAGCCGAGTTTTTTCCAGATTATTGATCTTATTTAGGTCTGTTATTCTATACTTAGCTAAATTCCCATGTTCAGCTATTCTAACTGATCCCAACCGACTAGTTTGACCTATATACTTGACCTCACAGTCATTACATGGAATTTGAAAGATTACATTATTTTGCTAAATTGGTTCTATCGGATCATTAGGCCAACCGAAAAAGTTTCTCTCTGAGTGAGTTTGTAGGTTTAAATGCCACCCTAGTTCCAGCTCTGTTGAGGATTCTAAGTAAGGTTACTGAGGTACCCTCCTTACAGAGTAATACAATGCAGGCTATGAACGTTTTACTCATGCTGTCGTTATTAGTCGCACTCATGTGACTGTTATTTTTTTGTTTTTTGTGTGTCCGTAAGAATTTCTTCATAAACTGTATGTTATAAATCAAATAAACAAATCTAATATGAAATAAAATTTGAAAAACTCACATTGCTTGTTAACCAACATATTGAACATGATGAGTTTGCTTTATCCATGTTTCTGCTACATCTTGATATCTGATGCTATATGACCGTCTGTAAGAAGACCTAAACATGAGTTTCATGCCAGTTAAGCAAGGCATATTGTTTTGCAGCCATCAGAAAATTGGTAAAATGCTTAAATCACAGATTTTATCAAGAAGCTCTGTATTCCAACACTTACTAAAGCCTATCAATCAATAGTTCAGCACTAAAGACTAGACGACTACATCGGTTACCCTCT